TGGGGAAAACCGGACCTCAGCCCTCCTGATACCGAAGCGGATGGCGACACCGGCTTTCCAGGAACAGGCGAACGCGTGTTAATTGAGGCAAAAGATGGAACGGAACGCACGCGGAGAGACTTTACCGGCAGCCAAAAAGCCTTTTGAGTTGTTATCTTCTCCTACATGTACGGCCCTGAAAGTTTAATAATTATGCTCCAAATAGCTTTGATCCTGGCTGGTATAATTCATTACGCTTTTGGCGGCTAAAAGGTGTCAAGGCAAAAGGAACGCGCGACGAAGCTCTCTGCCCTGCACCATCCCTGCTGGAATAGTTGACCGGCTAACGAGCAGGCAAAAAAATCTTCAGGGGCTCCACGCTCAGTGTGGCGACGGGTACGAATGTTGTTGATTCAATTCTCTGGATTCATGGAGGGATTTTCCTCCCAAGGTCCCGATCTCTCACGATACCCGCTGTTCTACACACTCGCAGCACACAGTATCCACGTTTTTCCGGATTGATAAGACAAGCGAGGACCCCGAGGAAGCAAAATTGGATACTTGATTGCTCCGACAAGGACGCCCACGAAGGATCTTTTTCCTTTACGTGAATCTTACCAGCCGAGTTCCCCCCAGCAAGGGAGACAAGGGGAGGAATCCGAGGATGCTACCTAGTAAAACTAGGCTCACATGAAAATGCTCTTTGATACCAGTGGGCAATGCTCATCGGGGACAGCTCGGATGCGATTTCTATCGTCGTATCATTAAAAATAAGCTTGAGCAGAGATGCCGGGCTCCGCAAGCGATTCTTGGTTCCCTGCTTTAACACTAACAAATAATGGTCTTACAAACCCTGTCGGCCGCTGCTTCGAGCAAGGGTTTGCTTGACCCTGCGAGGCTCGCCATGCAGAGAAATTCCTCCGTAGCTCGAGGCGAGCCAAAAAGATGGAAGACACAGGATACGGGCTCTGCTGAATTTGCCAGGCTTTTGGGCTTCGTTTGAAGGAATTCAACCCCTCATAAGTCATTTATCGTACTTGCCCTATCACACAAGGTTGTTTATCCTTATCTTAAGTTACGGTTACTAGCCTCGGCGCCTCGCCACACGCAACAGCCGTTTTGCTGGCTGGCTGGAGGTTGCATCCCAGGCTGACATAACTAGTAACTACGATGTAGCTATGCACCAAACCTAAGCGCAGCCACGGTATGAGGGGTCGAGGACACTTTTGAAATCCTTCGGCTCACGATAGTCGCCTTCGCCTACTTCGGAGCTCTCCACCGATGGCAAACTGCCCACCACCACCGTCTGATCGCCAAGGGCAAAATATCCACTCCCCCGCCGCTCCCCCACCTTTTGCCCAATCGTTGTGCACCGTTTTTGTGAAGCTATCGTCCGCGAAGGAAGAAGAAAGCCGCTTATCCCTCAATCCACGTCCTACGAAAGCAGATCTCCCAACCCAATCTTCAAATCAGGGTGATGATTCAAACCTCGTGGCCAACCCTACCTCGGAAGTCAGCGGATAATTGCCTTATTATCGTGGGCGATGTGTTTTCTCAATTCTTGTTGCATCGCAGCTCCAATCTTCTTTTTCAAACTCCGAGCTAGGCCCTATAGACGTTGGAATTTGCATCGAGGACTGTTGTTCCGGAGAAGACCCAGGCATGGTTCCAAGTGTGGAGCCCACCCAACTTGGCCGACAGAAGGGAATTCTGCGCTTGAACCTTGGTAGTTGGAAACTATTCGACCTAGCGGAGGGTTATGCATGTACCTTGCAACCAGATCGGACCAGGGGGGAGGGGAATATTGACTTATTGGTGGATTTTACATATGTGCATCGCTCGGTTATTCCATTCGTTTTTGTGGCTGAGCTATCCAGGTTCGACCTCCATGACACCTTTCTTAACTAATCCCGCGACAAGGGTTCTAAGGAGGCTTCATTCGAAACCGCTTCACGAATGATATGATCGATATCCCGCATGCCAACTGCATAATCCATACTAGCGACCACGATGGCGCGATTCGGTAGTCTCACTGGTTCGCCTCCTCTTCCATCCAATATGGCCCTCGCCGATACCACGAAAAATGCGCTCATGATTGAGCAAAAATCTAGCAATATCGCTAGTTTCCGATTTTCGCGTCCAATATGTGGGCCTTGCATTCCATGAATTATCTCGCTGAAAACCAATGACCGCACCGCATTCCGGCCTTAAACTCCTTGGCCCACAATCTTTTCCTGTTCAAGCAACTCTTGTTCCTCATAGCAGCTGGGGCATCGCATCATATGGAACCCATAACGACTTTCGCCATACTGGCTCCACGCTGAGGGGCTGAGGGGCCCTTCCCCCTCTTGCGTTTGACCAGAGGAGAAATAGATCCGCGCGGTTGCATCTATGATGTCGTCTCTGCTCCTCACGCCGGATCGCTGGCGATGGGGGATTGTAGATCAGAAGTCAAAAGCCATGTGGCCATGTGGAATGAGGGACATGCGTCACATATCTGCGGATGGTCGTCCCCCTTCATTGTCTTATTTCGTCGCTATCCCACTATCGTCCGCGCGGATTCGACAGTAGCAAGGGCAGGGCAGGGCAGCTATTCACGGCAGATCGGGGCGACTCAGTCAGGCTGCGAATCTGTGACCCCTATCTGGGGCCATTATTGAGTCAGGAACCGCTACTAAACCAAGCAAAAGCGGTTTATCCGCGGTACTGGATGTCCTCATTCAAACCCCCGATCCCGCCTACTGAAACCTGTTCGTCCTTATAGACGCTGCCTCTTGGCACCTTCCCACCACGCAGGGTTTGTCGTTCCTTTTTTTCCCCTTGGGGCCGGTTCCTATCCCCATTACTTTCCACCTGACTTCGACGTACGGCATATGATCTATCTCTGTGTTTACATTTTGAAGTAATCACTGTTGTGCCGCCTATATTACCCCTTGTGGTAATAGATTTTTCCCCGGCTGGCCTAGGCCCCTACACTGCAGAGCAACAATCAAGATCAATCCAGTGGGCTTAGGGACCACAGGAGCAAACAACGATATAATCTGTGAACATGTCTACCCAAGATGTTAAATTCTCGTCGGAGTTTGAGAGGGAGACATGGGCGTTATATGCCGTGGGAATTTTCGCTGTCGGAGCCCGATTGTGAGTGATATTTCATTTCGCAAATACATCAACTAGATCTAACTCTACACAATAGTGTCGCACGAATAAAACGACTCGGGATCGGAGGATTACAACTTGACGACTACCTAATGATTACGGCGGTGCTTTGGTACACCCTTCTATGTGTTGCTCTAAATCAAGTGGTTTCAGGCGGAGGCTCGAATCTAATGACTGAGGAGGATATCCGAAATCTAACCCCGATAACAAAAGCAGCACGGGTGGCTGGAAGCAAATGGGTTTATTTATCTGAGCACGTCATGGTACTCACGATATGGACAATGAAATTCTGCATGTTGACAATATATGCGCGCATCACGTAAGTTCCCCGTCGAACAACATTCGGAGTACTTGTGCATGGGGTGTCCGGTATTTCAAGCGGAAACGTCAACCATTTCATTAGCTAACAGTTTTCGCTGAATAGGAATGGATTGAGTCAGCGCCATCTTGTCAATTACTGCGCGATATACGTGGGATTGACGTTCGTTGCTACCGAGCTCTCCCTCTTCCTCATCTGCCGTCCCATCACGAATTATTGGGCGGTGCCTACGCCAGACTGTTGGTTACACTTTGAATGCCCTCTTTTTTTTTAATCTATTAACTAGCTAACCTTAATTACAAATCCAGATCAATGCTCCTCCTACCAATATTACGAAATTGTCAATGGCTGTCTATCCATCACGGGGGATATCTTCATGCTCCTCGTCGCTATTCCCCTCCTCATGACCGTCCGACTCCCTCTCAAACAAAAAGTTATCCTCATCCTCCTCTTCGGCCTCGGCATTTTCGTCATCATCGCCGCCCTCCTTACCAAAATCTACTGCCTCGTCCCCTCCCTGATCTCCTATGTCTACATGAACTGGTACTTCCGTGAAGCAACCGTTGCGATGCTCGTCACCAACCTACCGTTGACTTGGTCTTTAATGAGAGATATATTCCCCATGCTCAAGAGCTGGACTGGCGGATCTCGACCAACGGGTGTCTTAGGAGGAATCATATCATCTCGCCGCGCATCGCGACCTGCTCTCCAGTCGAGCGACTACAAACTTCGACCATTCAGCCGGCTAGCCTCGAATGATCCCCGAAAATCCGTCATAAGCAGCAATAGAACGCAAAACACCACCCGGGTCAGCGATGATGGTGAGTCTGTTCGTTCCTTGCATATTCGGCAGGACGTCACGATCACGGTTGCGTCTCAGAATGTAAAGGACAGTGACGACATAGAACGTGGGCACAGACGTGCTCATTTTGCCAACTCACCGTCTCCACCACCACTTCCAACGCCAGCCCCGGGCGAGCCTCAGGGCGTTGATGACAGCTGGTCACCCCCTCGCACAATGTCAAGAGGCGGGCCTGGCCGGACAAGTCCACCCAACTGAGGCAGCTGGTTTTGACTCAATGAGAATGAGGGTGGAATTAAAATGAGGACTGGCGGGCAAGCAGGCTGGGAGCTTTTGGTGTTTTCTTTTTCTTTTCTAATGTCATGATAGTGATTCCCTTTGTCTTCTTTTTTTGCTATTTTTGCCCTTTGTAATTGGCCGTCCCGACTCATAATGTCTATACGAGTCATCAGCGTACATGTACATACATACATAGATGTGATACCCAGGATAAGGGGGAATAATAACTAATGTATCACTTCCAAAAATAACCCCGATCATACTAGCAATTTAAGCTATCTCTTCTTTCCCAAATTCATTTTTGCCCCTCAGCAGATCCAACTTATCAAATGCATAAAGGGCATAGAACAACCCCTCCCTCCCCTTTTGATCGTCCCTGGTACTTTTTTCATATTCCAACAAACCCATTTCAACCTATGCGCTCAATTGCCGAATATCCCGGCAATGTTCTCCACACCTTAAGACGATGTGGTCGAGTGGTAAGACGTCGCGTTGTGGCCGCGCCAGCCTGGGTTCGATTCCCAGCATCGTCAATTAACAGCATTTCATCATCTTTTTGCCCCCGTTTCGGGGTCTATATTGTCTTTAGGCGAAGGGGAACCGGTATGGGGGATTGGATATCCTTCTTTTTTTGTCTGCGGGGGTTGTAGAGATGTATCATTGAGGGAGATACTGTGGGAAGGCTGAAGACTCTCATATTGCCTAGCTAGCAAGAGATCTATCTACTGTGTGACCACATGTTCACACTAAGCCCAATTGGGAGATCAGAGGCAGCCTACAGCCTACACCCCCCCTTGAGCAGAGCTGTGCAAAACACATAGATCTCACAAAAACACTGCTAATCAGTGGAAAAACCCTAGATACATATAAAGACTTGCTATTTTCCTCCTTTTCTACCAGAAAATCCTAGTAATTTCATGAAATGATTAAATACAACTATACTTAGAAGCTTCATCAAATTATTAGCTGCTATTTTGGCTGTAGGAATATATTCTAATAATATAATATCATTCTTTAACTGAGATTACAAGTAATAAAAGCATGTATCTATGTAATTGGGAAAACTTGAGATGAAAACGTTGCATAGAATAAGGTTGTATTTGCTATGTTCCTGGGCTATCCATGGCTATTTATACCACAGGGCCTGACTAAGCTATGTAGGTGACTAAGCACCATGGATATTCTATGGTGTGGAGCATGCACACATAATAATCTATATACTTACTACAGACTATAATTATAGTAACTTGAGTGAGGTCTATTACATCTTTATTATCTATAAGAATCTATATAGAGAATGTAATTATAAATTTAATCTCTAATATAAGATTATAAATTTATATTACCTTATAAACTGTCTTGCTGAGTATGATATATTCAGCTTCATTTAAACTAAATGATATGTAGGCCTATTTAATAGACTACTATAATATTAGAATACCTATAAGCTTGAATATATAGCTGGATATAGATTTTCAATCACTATTCAAAATACTTACTAAGTTACTCAATTGGAATTTATATATCTAATTGGGAGGTAGATATTATTTGGGAAGTTAGAAATCAGATTATTAAGATACTTATAAAAGAGGTTTATATTAAGTATTTCCTTTAAATATCAGATGATATATAATAATACCTTCTATAATTTTAGTGTTAGATTAGTACTATGCTAACTGAGTAATAAGACTACATGTATGATATCAGGCTGAGTTTTGACTGTGAGATATTAGATGCAGCCTACACCCTATTAGTAATATTACTTTGTAAAACTACCTTTACTCTCTAGTATAGAGAAATCATTAAATCTAAGAGATTCCTTTATAGATATATGAATAGTAATAATGTCTTCCATATAGAAATCCTCTACTAAATGATTAATATAGTATTAGTGAGTTAATTTAATTCTCTCAGATGTGTAACTTACTTTCATACCTAAATATTTCTCTAGTTTGTATAGATCTTTGATCTTAAGATGCTCATTCAATTTATATACTAGCTAATTAGCATTTATGGGATCTTTAGATGTTATATTTAAATTATCAATATAAATAGTCATATAGAGGTAAGGTTTAGTAGTATATTATTATAAATTTAAATTATATAAACATTACTCATAATGAATTTTATTCTTATGAGAAGAGCTGTCAAAAAATTATATTAGATTCTTACAGCTAGATCCAATCTGTAGAGACTATTCTCTATAATGTAAATAAATATTTTTAAAGCATCTAATTTAAAGCTAGAAGATTACTTTATATAAATAATTTTACTCAGATATTTATATAGGTAGGCTAGTATGATATCTATCTGTTAGAGTGTCTACTTATATTATACTACTATAGTAAATAATAAGTAGTTCATAATATTAGTTATTATAGATATATAAGTCTCCACTTTACTATTCTTCTTAAGCTAGTTCCTATAGATCACTCATTAAGACTTTCATAGAATATCATTAGAATCTGCATTTAAATCTATTAATTAATCTTTTTCAATAAATACTCAGCAGCTGAAGGCTACTAGTTTCCTAATAAATATATTAGACTGAGAGACTAGATATTATATATTCTACTATTCTAGATTAATTATCTTATATTACATTGATTTTCACCAGTATTCTCTCATTCCCCCTGATTATAATATGATATCCTTATATGATTTAGAGAAAATACTTATATTAGATAAAGAGATGTAAACTATATAGATATTAACAGGGTAAAATTACTTGCTATCTTTAGAAGGTTCCTCATTCTCCATTATATTAATTATATTGATATTGAGCACCTTGAGGCTCTAAATGTTAGTTTTTACTTTTTAGACTGTTAGTATATTTAGAATTTAGCTTTAATAATATAAACTGAACATCAGACATATGAAGTATTTTATTAGATTTAAAATCTTAAAGTTGAAAAATTAATATTCTATTAAATCTAATGAGTTTATATAACTCTATGTGAGGAGATAATTTATCTGTAGGCTTCTATAAGCTGTGCAAGTGAGTGTAGACCTCAGTTCTAATTTAATGAAAATATTTTACCTAGAATAGTAGGTTTATAAGTATACATCATGATATTATATAGAGACTGAGAGTTATAGAATTTACTATCTGTAATCAGAATATATTATTATATAGAATTATAAATATAGAGGTGTTATTAATTATTATAATAACTATATTCATAATATTTGCTCAGAATTTTTTGAGTAAACTACTTATAAATAGAATTGCTCTCATACACTGTATTATAATTTAAATGTCATATTTGGAGATACCATCTTAATGAGAAGATTAAGGGGTAGTTGATTCTTATTTAATACTATAATTAATTATAATCTTATTTATTTTCACAGACTGAAAAATGCCATTAATATCTATTTATATAAATGCAGAAAATCTAAAACTAAAATTCCTTATAAATTTAAACTAGAGAGTAAAGAATCTAATAGCTCTATCTTTTAACTTTAAGAAATACATTCATCTCATGTAGGTTACATTACATGTAATTAACATCTAATATTTAATTTCTTTATGAGACTTCAGGGGATAATCAGATAGATTCTCTAATATTCTACTTTCTTCTATAAGATTAATATGAATCTTTTTGATTGATTATAAAGACTATAGTATGAGTTTTTATGAGTAATAATGAGTTATACTGGCTTCAATATATTTCTCACAGAAAAGTCCTATTTTTGAGCTATTAATTTTAATACCAGATTTTAAATCTTTTAACATTATAATAATTGTGCCTGCATGAATATAGTCTAGATTCTGATACTACTCACAGTACTCAGTAAGAGTCTTACTTATAAAATTATAGCCTGCATCTATAGGTCTAATTCTATCAAACATTTTTAGGAGTATAATAGTAATAGTAGCTACAAGTAGAAGTCTGATTTTTCAGGCTAAATCTAATATTCTATAATCATATAATTTTATTATGAAGTTTATTACTCTACTAATACTATTAAGATCTTATTTATATTTACATTTAACTATCTCATATAAGCTCCTACTAGAGATTTAAATTGCATGAAAAATAATATCATTTAGAGATCTATAAATAAAGTATATAAAATTAATGTTGAATAGAGTGAATTTATACTCTTAATCCTTTAGAGTTATAAAGGACAGTAAATTAACTATTAATTTAGAAATATAATGAATGTTTTGTATGATAATATCATTATTCTTAACCTTAAGAACTAAGTATTTTATCTCTTTAATATGCTCTTTCCTGCCTGTAGTGGAGTTGACTGTTAGTATGCCTATATAGAATTGAGTCTTTATAAGAGAAAAATATTTACTAATTATATTTAGACTAGCTTCTATATCTAATAATTACAGCTTAAGAGCTGTAGTGTTTTGTGGGGTCACTGAGAGTACATCTTCCTATAATTCTTAAATTATGATGATATTTATAGATAGTTAATCTATCATTAAATTCTTATTATTTATAGATTTATTAGTTTTTATATTATTAGAGCTATTCTTATTCTTTCTGTGCCTACCTCTATTCTTATCTCCACTCTATTTTTCAATTTTCTTAAGTTAATTAGGCTTATGTTCAGGGTGCAGATACCAGCACTATTTATTAGTATAATTAATGTTCTTATAATAAGAGTAGGTTTACTTATTATTTAAATTATTAATTAGAGAGTTTATAGAGTTAGTATTAAAATTCTATATTCTTAGAGCTGTAAATTTCTTTTCAGTCTGATTAAACAATTATTTTATAAGGTTATTTATATTGATATTAATGATCTTGTCCTGGCTACTAACATAAAAATCATTCAAATGTAACTTAACAAATACTTTTTAAAAATCTTTGAGGCCTAGAAGGAAGAGGTTATGATAGATGTCTTCTAGATTATAAGATAATACTTTATAATAAGTTATAAGATAGTAAAATTAGTGTTAGTAAGGCATATAGTTAATATTCTTAATGAATAGGCTTATAAGCTTCTTAATAATATTCATATATTTCTTTACTAGGGAGATTGTATATTCAGTGTTAATTGTATTCTAAACTGTGATAATATTATTAAGTTCTAAGTCTCTAATAACTTCATATATATTCCTGCACAGACTAGATAGAATATAATGATATAGCATTTTTAATTTTATAAATTATTTAGCTCTTTTATATTAAGTTTCTTTAGAAAAGATCATCTTATAATTAAATAAAATATTAGATCCTCTAATCATCTTAGCATCATCTAATATACTATTAGTATTTCATCACATATTATAGTTAGAGTCATTAAATATAATAATCTTCTTTATAGTAATAATAGAGTCAATTTCTTTTTGATATTCATACATCTTAGTATATAATATATTAATTGTAGAGGTTGATTAATAAATTAATTATTAATATACTATCTTTCTTATAGAATTAAGAACCTGCACCATTAAGTCTCTCAGTACTTCTTTAGTTATTATAACTAGTCTATTAGAATCCTCTATAAAGTTATAGGTAGAGGTAAATATATTATTATAGACAGTCTCTACCTCTTCATCCTACAT